GACCACAGGATTTCAACTTATGATGAACCTAAGGTTCTTATGGAGCTTGAAAAATGTATTTGCTTGATAGGTCCAACTAGCTTATCTATCTGCCTTTAGACTGAAGATTGTTTACTTATGGTAAACCCAAGATTCTTATGGAGCTTGGAAAATGCATTTACTAGTGGTTCACTTTTTGAAGTTCCAAACCTAGGAAAAATATAGTGGAGGATGTTTTTTTGATAGGTTTCTTCTTCTCAATAAGGTGTTCTTGCTATAAACCAAATGGTAAAGTTTTGTTTATTTTGTTATAGAAATATCCAAAGTTTTTAAAAGAAGGAAAAGTAAATAGATGAGAGAGACATTGGCCTTTAGAAAATAATGTTTTTAAAGAAAGTATATAGACTTTATTATCAAAAATAAAGAAATATTTTTGAAAATATCTGTTTTTTGGGTTGGCAAAGGGATCAGTAGAAATAGATATATATAATTGATAAAAAAAAAATATATACTTAAAAGAATAGAGTTTACTAGCTTATTCATTCACCTCAATCAAAGATGTTCACTTATAATAATCCCAAGGTTCTTATGGAGCTTGGGAAATAAATTTACTAATAGTTCACTTTTTAGAATTTCAGACCTAAGAAAAGTATAGTGGAGAATGTTTTTTTGATAGGTTTTTTTTTTCCAATAAAGTGTTTTTGCTATAAATCAAATGAATAAAGTTTTGTTTATTTTGTTATTAAATTATATAAAGTTTTTTGAAGAAAAAAAATAGATAAGTAGGGGAAGGCACCAGTTTTTAAAAAGTAAGATATTAAAGAAAGTACTATATATAATCTTTATTATCAAAAATAAAAAAATATTTTTGAAAACATCTATTTTTTGAATTGACAAAAAGATTAATAGAAATAATTTTTTATTTTAAGATTTGTATTATAAGATATTAAATTTAATAAATTTTATAATTATTTTTTTATAATATTTAATATCTTTTTAAAAATATTTATTAAAATTTATTATAATTTTGTAACAAATTTTCTTAAAAATATTTATTTAAAAAAATATTTATATAATAAAATCTGAAAAGCAATAGTCAAATTCAAACAATAAATTAAATTATAAGTATATTTTAAATATTCTTGAATAATAATAAAAATTAAATAATTAATCTAGCTATAAATAATAATAAGAAATTATTTTTAATAGATTTAAAAATATTTCTAAATAAAGATTTTATTTGCAAAAAAAAAACTCTTGTCTATTTTTTTTTTGCTCCTTTCTTTTTCTTTCCTCTCTTTTGATTACAAACCTTTCATTTCCTCTTTTCTTTTTTTCTTTCCACTCTTCTATTTATATTTCTTTATTTTATTTTCCCTTTCTTTTCTTTTTTTTCTCTTTCCTGCCAAAGTTGGCTTTTTTTTTTTCTCCTAAAGTTTTCTTCTCTAAATCTCTTTTTCTTTTTAAAAATATTATATTCTATCTTATTACTTCTCTGGCCAGTTGACTTTCTTTTTTCAAAAACTATATTAAGAGTGAGTTTTTTTCTTCTATAATTTTTTAGTAAAAGAAAAATGGTTTATCTTTTTCAAAAGATATATATAACCATTAATATTAAATATATCATTTTTTTTTTGTTAATAGCTAAACTAGTTATATCTAAAAAACTATTATACAACTATTATTATTCAAATTTTTTGATACTATGCCTTATGAAAATCTAGTAAGATAATATATAATAACTAAAGATTCTAATTATTTTTCATAACCAGAGCTGATAATAACAATAAAAGTTTCTTGCTTACTTCTTGACAATATAGATTTTATATACTAGGCTAGATATTAATATTTATAAGAAAATTCAATCCAATTCTATTTATTGGATACTTCTGCTATACTTGAACAATAGATATATCAAATCCTTTTTATAACTTGGAGATCAATCTGCATAAAGTAACTATAATATCTTTATGTATTAAGATAATAATAATCTAATACTATTATTATTATAATCAATCTTACTTATTATATATCAAGTCATATTTAAAAAGCAAATATATCAATTTTAACCATAACTTGGAAGCCAATTTATAAAAAATGGATACAACACTTTTATATACTTAGATAATCAAATTATATCTAGAAAACTAGATACTATTTAAAGCTTTGATATAGTTTTTGAAATTTCTTTTATTATATTTCTTAAATAGTAACAGGAGTATAGATAAAAAATTATTAAAGTTTTATATTTAACTTTTATTAATTAAGAGAAATATATATTAATTTATGAAAATTGTAATCTTACTTCAAGTCTAAAATTATAATAAAAATACAAAGATTGATTATCATCTTATTTTCTTAAAAAAAAAAATTTTTTTATTTGTCAAAAAAAATATATTATTCTTTAGTTTTTTATATAAACTTTCTACAAATAAAACTATAAAAAAAATTTAATACAAGTTAATAAAACCTTAATATATTAGTTCAGGTTTTTAACTTAAATAAGCTAATAATAACAAATTAATATATTTGAATAGCTTAATTAAACTTAGATATAGCTTTATTTATATATAATAAATTTATTATTATTATTTTTTTGTAGAATGGCATTAAATGCACAGTTTTTATTAAATAATTATAAATTTATATACATATATATCAAATATCCTCTATTGTATTACAATAGCTAAATGTTAGCCTATCTACTTATTACCCTAACGATACTAGTAATACTCATCAAGTGGGTTCATATTTTTGGAGGGAACCTATCTAAAGGATAGAAATCCTATCACTAGTTTTAAATCATCCAACCTACTGGTCCAATTTGAATAAGGGCAAAAAATACTGTTAATTATTTCCTAAGTTACTTATTATATCATACTTTCCTACCTATACAGCTGATATAGTAGAGGGGCCTCAATATTTTGACAATTCCTAGTAAATGTTTCAGTTTTGACCATTGGTTAGTTTTAAGCTACCAAATCTAGGGGCTATATGGCCAAGTGGAGCACGACTTCTTAAGAAATTCCTTAATTTCCTAGTAAACACATCAGTTTCGGACCAGTTAACTTAAGTTGCCAAATCTAGGAATATAAATGCCAAGCAGATTACAACTCCTCACATCGATCGAGGGAAGAAGCCATGTCATACAAGAGTAGCGATAGTACAGTACTCTTTTTCAAAGCTTCCTTATTCCACAGTTAACAAGAAAGAAATGTGTTATGTGGAATTGAATAAGATGGAGTACAGTCCAATCTATATATTCAAATAAATAGTTATGGTTGGTAGTTGATAAGGGTTAGCTAAAATGGAGTGCAGCCCAGTCTGTATATCCAAATAAGTAGTGACACCTTTCATTAAATGATTATTATAGTATTATCTGGATGATTGTTATATTATTATGCCTTAAATAAGAAGATCACAATCTTAACGCCTACTGGATCAGCATATAAAATGGCTTTTTATGAGAAACAACACATAATTGGTTATGGTGCCAGATACCATATTAATCTATTCAATCACCTTCATACGGGATTGAACTGATATTTTGTGATCTGACCTGTGAAGCACTAACCATTATGTTATAGATCCACAGGTTATATATATAATAAATTTTATATAATATATAAATATAATATATATATGTTTTTAAAGTATTTATTAGAAAGTATATACTGTATATATATTGAACTCCAATAACAGTTATATAAGCTAAAAACAAGAAATAAAAAGATAATTTATTAAATATTAATATAAATTTTAAAAATATTTACTGTTCTCTTTAAAATAGTTAAATTAATAAGTTAGAATAATTTAAACTATACATGTGATAAAATTGAATTTAACTATTTTTCAAAAACCATATTATGGTAGAATTACTAAATAATATATAGTAAATAATTAGAATTTATATTTAATTTAGAATTGTATTATCAATCAAATTTTTTTTTTATAGTAATAAACATATATATGATTTAAATTAGTGATAGAATTTTTATCTTCCAGATAGATTCTTTTCAAAAAATATAAATCCACTTCAAAAGTATTATTAATATTGTTGGAGTAATAAAATATAATAGCTAATATTTAGTTTAGGGCTCCTAATGGTACCACTTCGATATCTGTTCGATACCAGTTCGATACTTAATTTACTATAAATTTATATAAGTGGGTCACAACCCATATATTAAATTTATTATAGATCGGTACTATTTCAATACCACTTCGATATCACTTCGGTATCAGTTCGATACTTTTTGGAGCCTTAATTTAGTTATATTTAATATTATTTCTTAAACTATATTGTAGGCAAATTTGCTTATAATTTTTTCATTAACAAAATCATTTTATATTTTCTGATACATGTTATTCTTTAATTATATATTTTTTACTATGTATTTTAGCTTATTTAAATCTTCAGAACAAGATTAATCTTTTTTCTTAATAGTCAAAGTACAAATAATATAATAATATTTTTTTCAAAAATGCATCACAAAAATAAGTATCAAATTTGCCAAAAATTGACTTACAGATTAAAGAATAAACAATGTTTGATATAATTAAGATATCATATATATATCAATAAATAATAATATCTAATATCTATTCTATTATAAAAAAAACAAAAACAGTATCAAAATTAATAAAACAAAATTTAATTGATATTACAATATATACAAAATACTTTAGTTCACTATGATTTATAAATAAACGACTCCAGCCTGATTGAAGGTTATAAAATATATAAAATACTTTAGGCATACAGTATGTCAACTTTATAACAAGCAATATAATTTTTTATATTAGAATTGTTTACTGAAAAAAAAGTTGATCTTGTACTAATTAATTGACTAATATTACGTTATTGATAGAACGTCCACGTGATTTATTATAGTTCGTTAAAAAAATTAGTATAACTATAGTCCTATGGTTATATTTCTTAAAAGGCTTCTCAAGTATAATTGTAATCGTAATAAATAGTAGTGTCTTACAAAGAAAGAAAAGCATAGCACGTTTTGAAAATGTTCTGGAGATTCGGCGGCTTGAACAATTCTGTTATTGACTCACTTTTGGATAAGGAGGATCTAACTTTAGAAGAATTGTTGGACGAGGATGAATTACTCCAGGAATGCAAAGCACATAATAACAAGTTAATTGAATAGTATCCTTTTTTAGGAGCGATCTTATACATATAAGTGGCAAGTTTGTCGTATATTACGACCTGCAGGTAGCAATAAGTCAGATCTAAACGCACCCTTGGTATACACTTCATTAGTATTATCCTTGATAGAACCAGTCTTCGTGATCCGTCAATTCTCTCCCAACTGCTGAATTATATAATCCGTGAAGACTTGGACGAAAATCAGAGATTCAAGTATGTCGTGGAGTTAAAATGTAGAGACAACTTCTAAAAGCTGATATTGTGAAATTATTTTATGGAATTTCAACGATTTAGATACCAATACGTTGCATGCGAAGTTTTATGTTGCGAAATTTGGACAATTTGCGAGGCCGTTATTGAAAATGTAGATTTACTAAATTCATTTTGGCAATTCTTGGATCGTGCGCCACCACTGAACCCATTGCAAGCAAGTTATTTTACCAAAGTCAATGTGGTGTTCTTGCAAAAAAAAATGAGTGAGGTAAATATTTGAACTGGCGAGGTTCAAATAGGAGAAATTTTAAGAAAGTAGAGTTTTATTGACTGTTTTCGTTGATGTAGATGGCAAAATTTATTCAATCCATTCCTAACGTTGTAAAAAAAATGTTGAATCACATGGAAACACCCACTATCATGGATTTATTGCTCAAGCTTATTAGTGTGGAGGAGTATCCAGAAGGCGCTGGGGTGATTGATGTTAGTGGTATTCGTATCAAGTTCTGATTAAATTCCTTACTACCATTTATTTACAATTACGAACTCATTTCTCTCTCGATAACATGATGTACATATATTAGTGGTTGAATTCAGAAGGTCTTGTCAACGAATTAATTTCTCGTTTAGATCCTTATCTTGAACCTGACGTAAATGAACACATTTGGATTAAATTTCGATTACATATTGCATCATCCTTTTACAAAATATTTGTCTTTTATAGGTACACTCAACTGCATCTCAGGTTCTTATCGAAATCATCAACGTTTCTCAATCAAGCAACCCTGAGCAAGGAGGAGTTGGTCCAAATGCTCTGAGTAGAGAGCTTATCAGGTATGCGAAGTGTATAAGTATTATCATCATCATTAATACTACTATATTATCTTTTTTTCATCTGTTACAAACATTATTCGTTAAAATAAAGTTTTCGTTATCATAAGCGAAAAAACTGTTACGCGTCTCGTCAACTATATGCTCGATCCCGACGCACCAAATTCGACTTCAACATTGACAAACGGTGTATCCATATTCATACAAATCATTCAAAAAAACTACTGGTATTTTGAGAAGTTGATAATAAATTTGGGTAACAAGAGTTATTAACAAAATAATACAAAGAACAATCAATTGACCAATTAACGCTTAATAATTCAGCGATTATAACGAGGAAGCGATGCTTTCCTTAACACCACAACAACAGCAACATCCCATTGTTGACCTAAGCGACATGTTGCGAGTTTTGGCTAATCGTATAGGCGACTTTAAGGCACTACTTGAAAAACCAAAGTCTGTGGTATGTTTTATTTACTTATTTATTGTTTATCGTATTATTTTTTTTATTTTTTCTTTTGATCAGGTTCTGAGTGATATCAAATGATTGGTGGGTTAAATTTTTGATATGTCAAAAAAGTCAGGCCAAATTGATACAACCATCGGGAAAATGGTTCCCCTCGGTTTCGAGAGGTTTAGGATTTGTGAACTTTTCGCAGAATTACTTCATTGTTCAAATATGAGGTCACTTAATGTTATTCGACACGAGGTTCCTACCAATGGATTTTACGAATTGAAACACACCGATGATGGACATGGTTTCATTCAAGGGAATCCGAAAAAAGAAAACGTTCGGGAAGCCGAGATTCAAAGTATTAAGGACGCGAATCAGAATGACTCAAATCAGTCGGGGTCTAGCCAGGAACCATCGATCTCATCAGTTTCATCCCCTATACTAATGGATATTGTGGAGAACGCACCGACACCTCCGAGTTTGGAGCGCATTGCGAGCTCTGATAATTCCAATGGATTGATCTCCACTCAGATCCCAGTTGGTGACATATTAAAAGCTAAATTCGTCGAATACAAAATCATGCCGACATGTTTGGTAAATCAATTTTCTTTACATAGTGAACGTCCTTTTTTTTTCTGTATTTACCTTTTTATTTAATGTAGGATTTATTCTTTAACTTTAAATGGAATAATTTCTTACATACCGTTGTGTATGATATGACCGCACAAATATTTCACGGACCAATGGATGTTGGCTACAATAAAGCTTTGGCTATCTCAGTATGTAAAAGTTCTTCAGTTAACGATGTAATCTCGAAAATTCTTATAAAATATCATTCTTCCTGCTCTCCTAGGTTTTTACCGATGGACAACTTACTAAACGTATCACGAATGCGCAGAGGTTAAACGATTACGAAGTGCAAGTTATCAACATCTCTTGTCGTTCTTGACGAATTGTGAATTTTCGTTGTTAACGGCATCGTCTGTGATTTATAGTGAACAACCGAAAGGCGTAAGGCTGGGTTATATGGGACACCTAACGTTCATTGCCGAAGAAGTCGTGAAATTACTTGATCTATACGCAGTAGAAATTGGTGAAAAGGTTACAGGTTGGCCTTTTGAAACCTCATTTTTCATTTATTTATTTCATTCTGTTTTATTAATTTCTTTACCTTTATCATTAGAATATATTGAAGCCGAAGATTGGCAGGAATATGTATCAAAAACTTTACGTGAAACAAGAGAACGTGATCGGGCACATCTAGGTGGTCAACGCCCGAGTAATCACGATAGCACGTCGCCTAGTCGCGAAGAAAGCGAGGAAGACGATGAAGACGATGATAACCCAATCGAAGCAGTTGCCGATGGTGATACGGCTAGTGATCAGGTTAGTGAACTTTGTATTCTGCTGCACTTTAGATAATAATATTGGAATTCTTAATACGCGCTTTTACTCAAAATTATAGTTTGCGAGATATTTATGTCAACAGATTACTAATGATTTACCTGACAAATTTGGCTCATCGGACGAGAGTGATGATGACGAAGAAGGTTGGATGGGGTTAGTATAACAAATCCGGTTGTCACTTCAAAGGCTACTTCCCATTTATTACTTCTCACTAATTCAACTCAGTGATGATTTTGACAGGGATGATTTTGAAATGCGTGGGTCTTTTGGAAACCCTAATATGCTTGAGGTAATGAAAGAAGAAAATGAAAGGTCACATGACGGCACCTGTTGATATATATAATTCTCTTTATAGGGAGATCCTTTTGAAAGTCGAAGGTCTTCGTTGGGTGATGATTTTGGAGCTGATAGCGACGATGAAGTATGCCTTGAATTGCTAGCCTTTATTCCAAACTTCATTTTATAAATATTGATTTTTCGATGATATTTTTTTTTAGGATCCATCCAGCCAATGGCCTTCATCGAATATTCAAGAGCATAAACAACTTCTTACTATTGCTGACTGGTCAGCGGATTTCCAATCAGGTTTTAAAGCACCTAACACGACACAAATTTCCGACTCTGCTACAACTAATCAATCCTATGCGATCAATACTTTCGTTTCTACAAATCGGCAGTCTAATGCTTCTTCATCTATCTCAAATTTAGCGCCAAAAGAAACTAATGTTCAACAAACCCTTACGCTTGTAAATATTAAAGAAAATGAAAGTGGAAAGGATTCTGACGTGAAGGGATCTATGGAGACATCGATTCATATTACTTCAGTTTCAGATAATTCGAATACACGAGATTCTACGGATTGGGGTGTGGAAAGAAATCTACTTACGGACTTTGCTACCCTTGATAAAATGGGTATCGGTGTGGATAGTGATGATAAAGTTCAAAATGATACTTGCAATGTAGTTGATGGGAATTCGACCGTTGAAAAAGCATGAAAACCCGATTTTGGGAGGCAAATTTTATTTCTTGTAATATTTACGCATCATCAACCTTTGCCTTTCGTTATGATTTTTTAAATATAATTCCTTACAATAGTCTTCTACCAAATCAACATGAATTTTTTTTCATCTTCGCATTCTTTTTGATTTTAATTTATAAAAACAACGGACTATTCCATTATATACGAATCATGACATTATACATCACGTATTGCCTTAATAATAGGTTTCAAAAATACTAACTATATACAGTCATATATGTATACTGATTGTGTGTCATAGGTATCATGTCATGTTAGTTTTTTGTGATTGACATTTTGCCTTCTACAGTAAAACAAAATATTTATAGTTACAAACTATTAATTGATATTTGATTTATAGAATAGTTTCAGATTAAACATAATATTAGATTACATGGTTCTTGTTTTATTGTGTTTTTATCAATTTCCAAATTATATGTTATAAAATTTTGCTATTAACTATGTTTTCATATTTATACGAAAGAAATATACAGTACATGTAAATTTTTATCCGAAAAATGTTATTCTATAAACAAAATTATATAAGCTTTAAAAGAAAAAATTCAGAAAAATAATATATGTAATAATAATATTCGAAAAATTTTTTTTCAATTATAGTAGAAAGGTTTTGTCTAACATATTTTATTTAGTTTATATTTATATTTCTTTTACAAGAATTACTATCTATAAATTATTTTAGATACATATTATACTATATTGAATTGCTTCCATATTAGATATTAGGACCTTGCAACTTCTGATAATTATTATAACACCAACCAGATGATTGTTGCATCATAACATCTTTTCTGGAAATCTCAATCTCAATGTCTATTGGATCAGTGTATAAAACAGCTTCTTATGAGAAACAACACTTTTACAGATTATGGCATCAGATATTATATTAATTCTATTCAACTATCCTCATATGGGATTGAACTGGTATCTTATGATTTAACCCATGAAATATTAATCACTACACTATAGATCCACAGGTCTTATAATATTTATAAAGATATATCTTGTAATTTTTTATTTCTTATATTATAGATAGTTTTTATTTTTGTATCTGTTGATTCTCTTGTCAACCTAAAAACAAATGTTCCATAGAAATTTTATATTTCTCTATAATAAAGTCTATACACTTGTTTTAATAATATTATTATTCAATTTAAACCCACCTGATTATAACAATTTATCACCTTTATGATTGATTAACCAGTTTCCAATACATATCATATCCAATTAGTCGAAAATCATTTATCAAATCAAGCTAGACTGCATGAAGATAGGACCTTTGGTCTTTTTGATAATTGCAAGCTGAAAAAACAAGTCAAAGTAGTGTTACACTTGATTTTCACCCAAGATTATCACTACCCCTTGCCCAATTTTTACTAACATTTACCCTTGAAACGTTACCCATTCTAAAATAATTTTTGTATTACTATCCTTGTTATTGTATAGCACTGTATTTTTTGTGTTATTGTTGCTCTAGAATATTTTCTATTTTATTTATTTCTCTTTATTATTGTATCTTTGCCAGAGCATTTGTTT